TTTTTCTTTTTTTTTTTTTTTTTTTTTTTTTTTTTTTTTTTTATTCCCCATTCCATATAATATACATGTGTACCCACAACCCAAAACAATAAAAGTTTTTTTTTTTTTTTTTTTTTTTTTCTTTTTTTTTTATTTAATAAAACTGTTCAGTTGTAGTTGTAGATGTTATTTTTCAAGACACGTTTATGAGTCGCAATCCATAAATGAACATCGGTCATTGCACCTCCAACTTTATTATGCGATTATTTATTATGCGTGAGCATTTTTTACATCCACAAACTGAAATAAATGAAACTATATAAAATATATATTTATATACATATATATAGTCCTATTATATAAAGCTATCAATAAAATTTTGCTGGGACACTTCATTTCCTTTCCAAACAGAAACAATTTTGTTGTGTTTAGAATGCAGATTTGATATTATTAAGTCCAACTTAAACGCATTAAACGTAAAAAAAATTATTTTTTTTAAATATAAAAAAAATAGTAATTTCTTTTCTCCTGCCATTTTGTTTTGACGACTTCGTTGGCTGGTAGGTAGTGAGTGTTCCATGTGAGTCTATCTGGGAGTATCACGGGCCAGCTTGGCGTGGGAACTCTAAACACATGGCCTTTAGAAAGTTGAATGGAGCCAATGTTAATTCGTGCCTCCGCCATATGTCTTATCTCACAGTGCAGAATTTTATATAGGTTATACTTGTATCGGACGACTTTTAAGACGTTCATGACCCCCCTACCCCACCCCCCCCCTATACAACACAAAGGAAAATTTAAAAACTGGGTCATAGATAATACATATATTATGTAGCTTACATTACAATGACATTTTTGTCAAGGAGTTTGTCGAATCTTATGACTTATGAACCTATCCAATCCATAATGGCGTCTGTTTTTTAAAGAGAAAAATGTGACAAATTTGTTCTTTGGTCCCACATCACTAAGCCACCAATAGATCTCCACATATCCCTTCTCGTCGCACATATCCACGTTTGTCGCAAATATCCACGTTTGTCGCAAATATCCGTGGCAGTCGCAATTTTTACATCATAATCGAGGGCGCTGCTAAGTGTTTGGAAGTCCTTTCTAAATGTCTCACTCCATGATATCTGATGCCTAAGAAATGTCTCTCTCCCATGACATCTGATGCCTAAGAAATGTCTCCCTCCATGACATCTGATGCCTAAGAAATGTTTCCCTCCATGCCATGCGGTGCTTAAGAAATGTCTCCCTCCACGTCATATGGTGCCTAAAAATGTCTCCCTCCATGCTATGCGGTGCCTAAGAAATGTCTCCCCCCACGCGATATGGTGCCTAAGAAATGTCTCCCTCCACGCGATATGGTGCCTAAGAAATATCTCCCTCCACGCGATATGGTGCCTAAGAAATGTCTCCCTCCACGCCATATGGTGCCTAAGAAATGTCTCCCTCCACGCCATATGGTGCCCTAAGATATGTCTCCCTCCACGCCATCTAATGCCTAAGGCATGTGCATGTGTGCGCCGCCTTACATGATCACGGTAGATGGTTCACTTATCTAAGATTTAACTTATTAACGCCCCTTCCATCAACGCCATCTTACTTTAAACAAAATAAAATTATAATTTTTTTTTTTTTAACATAACAAATTCACAGATATTTTGATTAAATTTTAAGATAAAAATGGAATGACCCTTGGTTATCGTTATTCATTTTTATTATTCAATAATTTTACTTGCTAAGAGACTCCTTAACTAATCTGAGACCTGGAGTTTGTTTAAATAAATTATATTTACAGCATGCTCGGATGACATTGTGGACTAAGTTGTATGATATCCAATTCTTTTTTTTTTTTTTTTTTTTTTTTTTTTTTTCATTATTTTTTTTTTTTTTTTTTTTTATTTTTAC